GGGCGGCCCGCTCGGATATACGTACAGTAACAGATGTTAATTATCCCTCGTGCGTGCGTGTGTGCGTGTGTGTGTATACGTCGGGGGGAGAAAAGAGCCCCCGGCCTCCCGGCTCGGACACGTCGTCCACTCGTGTTACATCCCCATCGAGAGAGGGCCCGCTTCTCTACTACTATCCACGCGTTCCGACCGGCAGGGTCACGTGGTCCGCGCACGCTCCAATCCCGTCCAACTTCCGCCGTACCCGCCACCCCAATTCTCGAATCGAGATCTTAGATCGAGTCCCTTCGCCCCTTCGAACGTATAATTCCAATTTCCCGATCCGAACCTTGCTGCCCTTTCCTTTCCTGTCGTTGGACAGTTTTGATTCGGGCCAAGATCCCGGCCAACGATCGAAGGAGGGGAAATGGTCGAATTTTAGGGTCCTCGGTTCTCTTCCTCTTCCTTGGAATAATTTTTTTAATCGGAAAAAAGGGAAAGGAGGAAGTTTGGAATCGGTTGAATTTCACGATAGACAGATTTCGATGTTGCGTAGCATGGAACGGAATGGAACGGAACGGAAGGGGCGGAAGACCGGAGGTTCTTGTCGGAGGGCAATGGATGGAATTTGGGAGCGACGTTGGGGGAAAATGGTTTCTTGTCGCGGTGGCGAACGGCNGCCATATTCGTCCGGGAGCCTTAATGGGCCGGTTTTAGTGCGGAAATAAATAACCGATAATGAACCGGGCAAAAACGGAACTAACGATTTTCAGGCCGAATTAGGGAGCGAGGCTCGGATGCCTCCGACCAAGTCATCCGAATCGATTGAGAGAGCTAACCGGTGATCAACAGGCTGGAGTAAATGATTAACGACGGAGGGGGAGGGAGGGGGAGGGACTCGTTATCGCCAACTAACTCGATTCTTCCAATTGCATTGTTCCGTAACGTAAAATCGTAGGGAGTGAAAATATTTGAAAAATCGTCGAAAATTTGTTTCGTATCGATAACGAAAGAAGGAGGAGGTGGAGGAGAAGAGGAGGAGGAAGAGGAAGAAGAGAGAACGAGGTTCGTGCCAACCGAGAAACGAATTGTCCCTCGTTTCGCGTTATCGCAAGCCCGTCTACTCGGCTGACCGAGCAGCGCTCGTATATCAGCGTAGCTTTTGTTACGACGACGTGCCTTTGTTTTCGCCTTGTTCTCGCGTCTCGTTCCACAGTGGTGCGAACGTGGTGGACGACGTGGGTTCTCGGTTCGGCAGCCTTGTGTGTAACACGCCCGTCACCGAACACACGGAGGGGTTTCGCTGAACTTGCTCTCTAACCCACTTTCACGGTGACACACAGAAATAGATAATAAAACCGCCGCGGTGGTATACAACGCGTTCTTTTCCACGTTCCACCACCGATTGTGTCACCCGTTCGGGGAACCACCGTCCCTCATCGTGATTGGTGGTTTATTAACGAGATTTACACGGAATACCAACTCGATCCCTCGCGTTGAAATATTAGCCCGATTGCGACCCCTTCTCTCTCTCCCCCTTTCTCTCTCTCTCTCTCTCTTTCTCTCTCAAGTATCTGGCCAACTGAAAACTAACGCACGGCCCCCGCCCCGTTTTCTTTTCTGTTTCAGAATGCGTTGAAGATCCGGCCGGTCGAGGAGATTCGAGATGTCCGCCGTAACCAGCCCGTATGGCCCCAGTAAGACACCACTCCCTTTTCTAAAATGTATCGGCGTACCGACCACCCCCTCGACGTTAGTCCCCGTGCTTTTTGAACGTGGTGGAGGAGAGAACGTGGCGGCGGTGGGCAGCGATCGCGATCGCGTCATGCCCGTTTGATCGAATATCGGTAACAGCCGTCCGCGGCACGACCATCGACCAACCACCATTCCCAGAACGTTCAATTAACGTATGAGCCGCTGCCCGGCTCGTATATTCTCTAATTAACGTTAAAAATTGTTTCGCGGCCTTCGCGTCCCGACGCGCGCGCGTACAAGAGATCGTTGGATAGTATCTCGAGATCGAGATATACGAAGATCGATCGATCTCTCATCCCCCCTCCGCGTTCCTTCCCGCGTTGGAGAAAACAATTGGAAAGAGCTCGAGACACTCGCTACTCTCGGGAATCGACCGATTGGAGAATTGCGCGGGGATAACAAGGGGCTAACAATAATAATAACGATAATAGCTAAAATAAAGGCTAAAAGAAAGAGAAAAAAGAAAAAAAAAAAAAAAAAAAAAAGAAAGCGGAAAGAAAGTCGGAAAGGGAGAGAAAAAGCGGTGGTCTCTCTGATGTCCCGGTTCCTTTTCCATCAGCGGAGATGCTTTCCGACTCGGTGTACAACTACGCGACGGCCCGGCGGGGGACCGGCGATCAGGACAGCGACTCCCAGTACGAGGGCCAGGCCCAGCTGCAGATCACGAGCATCCAGAAGCCGCGCAACAAGCGCAAAAACTTCAAGCCGATAAGCAGCCGGATGGTGGAGGTGTCCGATGAGTCCGAGAAGGAGGACGACGAGCTGGACGGGGCGATGGAGGAGAGCTCGAGCGAGATACTCGAGTACGAGAGGAAGACGATGCTGTTGCCTGCGGAGGACAGGTCCAAGCAGAGGTTGAACAACAACGAGGTCAGCCCCATGGACCTGTCCGTGGCCACCAGGCCCCCGTCCTCCGAGGCCGACGACGATAGCGGCGACTCTCTCAGGCACAAGTTCATCCTGGAGCAGCTCAGATCTCAGAAACTCTACTCCCCTGGCACCGAAGTGAGTCTCTTTCCCTCTCCCTCTCCCTCTCCCTCTCTCTCTGTTTGCGAGAAATCGTCATCGTCGGATTTGTTTGTTTGGCGCGCAGGCCAGGAGTCCGAACTCGGAATCGTCGGAGAAGAGTGGAGGAAGCGGTGTCCTGGACGCGGACTCGGGACGGTTGGACGACACCCCGTTCGAGGACGAGCGAGGGCAGGACGGGGACGGCGACGCCGAGTGCGAGGAGAGGAAACCGTTCGAAGGGATGAGGGAGTACGCGGAGTCGACTATGCAGGAGTTGTTGGCGATCTACGGGCTGACGGGGGGAGAATTGGTGAAGTCGGTGAGCAGGCAGCTACCGCCGACCTTCTTGAATCCCCCGACTTCGGGCCATCAGCCTCACGGTGAGTCCAGCTTCGTCGTTTCTTCCCCCCTCGTCTTCCTCCCCCTCCTCCTTCCCCTTCTCTCGTTCTTCTCCATTCGTCGCGCTTGCAAAATGCTCTCTTAAAGCTCTCGATCGACCTTGTTAAATTAAATTACGCCAGGGTATATAAGAGAAGGAGGAGGAGGAGGAGGAAAAAAGAAATAATTACCTAGTATATACGGTCTCCGAACCGAGATTCACCTAGAGAGCAATTAGAGGAGATGCAGTTGTTAACAGTTGTTAACTAGAAGTTGACGTTCTTCTTCTCCTCCTCCTCGTGCGTGGGTGGCGGCGGCGGCGGTATTCGAGCATCGATGGAGGATAAAACGGTGGGTGCGCGGAGATATCGCGGAGGAGAACGGCGCGGATTGATGGAAAAAAGGGATTGAAAGAAAAAAGAGGAGACGGTTTCCTCGAATCGACGTTCGCGAGGAACGGAAATTGGGCGAATAGAGGAATTAAGAGGAGAGTATTCTCGCGGTATTCGACGAAATGGTGAGCCGAGGCGAGGCCCAAAGGGGGGGGTCTATTGGTTGGCATCGAATTCGGGGTTGGGCTACGGACAATTGACAAGCGTAACTGGCTGGCAAGTCGAGATCGTACTTGGCGTAAAATCAATTTCGCGCGTTGACGATCGTGACCTCGTGGCTTTTTTAACGTTCTCGTTTTATCGCCACCGGGGAAAAGCACGGGTGTTAACGCGAAATTAACCTGGCCCGATCAATCCAGACGCGAGGAAGGGATTCATTGTTTCTGTTATCGCGACCGGGATTGGCTTATCGATTATGCGCACGCTCGTTCTCTTCGACGGTCTTGATGGATTCTCGAGCCGCGGAACGAGGTTACCGCGAAACCAGTCTGATCGATCGAGGAAAGAATTAACTAGTTTCGTTATTCGATCGTCCGGCAAATACCGTAAACTGGAGGAACATTAACCGTCGTAATCGGGACGCGTCGTGCCTATCGAATCCTATCTGGAAGAGAGGGGATATGAACCAGCCCAGTTCATCAAATTTTTCAAGATTCGTCCTTCTCGAATTTCTTCAAGTTTTTTTTTTTTTTTTT